ATGGGTGATGAAGAGCTCTGTAGGGCAAAGTGTGGGGGGAGGGGGTGGGGGCAGAAGGAAGGACGCAGGTGAGCACCCTGGATCACCAGGATTTATTGAGTAGCTATTATGGGCACGGCACTGTGCTGGGTGCTTTCCACCTGTCTAACCACATCCTTATACCAGCTTGTGCAGAACATGCAGCCTTCCTAGAAGGAGCCTCCAGGCAGCCCTTGCTGCTGGGAAATCAGAGGAACTGTGCAGGGGGGTGGAGTTGCTTCCAGGAGAGGGCTCTGGGTTGGGGCCTTGGCTCTGCCATTGCTTTGTGACATCGAGCAAGGTGCTTCATTGCTCTTGGCTTGGGTTCTGTTCTGTCTAATGTGGGATTAGTTACAGGACCTACTATTGGTATCTCAGGAGGTTACAAGGACAGGGCCTGGGCCGCTGGAATTGGGGTTGGCTCTAAAGACGACTGGATGCTGGCACCAGGGACTCCACTGCAGGCACCAAACACCTCAATCTTGTGTAAAAACCACCCTGGATGGTAGGGACAGGAAGGTTATGAAAAAGAGGAATAAAATTCATGATTTCAGGAAACTTGGTCTGGAGAGGGACTGAGGGAGCTGGCAGCTTCAGTGTAACTCTTCCAGGAACTGGGCAGCTGGGAGGGCTTCCTGGAAGAGGTGGCATGTGAGAGGCAGGTGGGAGATGCCACAGAAGTCCATGGGTGGAGATGAGGGTGCAGGAGGCACTAGGAGCCACAGTGAGGGCTGGAGGTCTACAGTCAGCTCCAAGTCAGCAAACAAACGTTCCCATTGCCTGGAGCCCAGGGCTTCACTGGGGGGATGAAGGTGAAAAAGGAGATGAAGGCCAGACCATAGAAGGCTTCGATGCCAGGAGGTCAAGTTTATATGTAATTTGTGGGCACGGAGGGTCTTCTGGAAGCATTTTTCCTCTGCAATATTTTTGTTTATTTTTACCTAAAATTTAATGTGCTAATGGGATGGGAGAGGTCCAAGAATAGCCAAGAAACTCTTTTTTTTGGGGGGGGGGGTACCGGGGATTGAACTCAGGGGCATTTGACCACGGAGCCCTATCCCCAGCCCATTTTTGTATTTTATCTAAAGACAAGGTCTCACTGAGTTGCTTAGCGCCTCATTTTTGCTGAAGCTGGCTTTGAACTCGCCATCCTCCTGCCTCAGCATTATAAGAAATGCATTCAAATTCCAACAGCATAATCACAGTTAAGAAAAAATGATCAACAGAACAGCCAGCCATGGAGTTACTCCCCAAATTTAAAAACTTTACTCAGGAGAGAATTGGTATTGCAATCATTTGCTTCTGTGTATACATTTTACTTTTATTTTTATTTTTTTGGTACTGAGGATTAAACCCAGAGGTGCTTAAACACTGAGTCACATCCCCAGCCCCTTTTTATATTTCATTTTTAGAGACAGGGTCTCACTGAGTTGTTAAGTCTCTTGCTAAATTATTGTAGTTCGCTTTGAATTCATGCCTCCTGCCTCAGCCTCCCAAGCAGCTGGGATTATAGGCAGGCACAGTGCTGGCTTTTCTCTGTGTATACATTTATTTTATTTATTTATTTTTATGTTGTGGTGAGTATTGAACCCAGGGCCTTGCAGGTGCTAGGTGAGCGCTCTACCTCTGAGCCACAGCCCAGCCCTGTGTCTACATTTTTAACCTTTAAAATAACACTTCAATTTTAGAATACATTTACAGAATGTTGCAAAGATGGCACATCTGTCCCACCCCCACCCCATAGCTACATTTGTAACAATTCTGAATCACTAGCAAGAATCACTAGCGATATATTCTCATTAACTAAAGTCTACACTGTATTCAGATTTCCTCATTTTTTCCCCTCTTTTTCCCTAATGTCCTTTTCAGGTCCAGGTTTCTATCCAGAATAGCACATTTACTTATCCTGACTTTTTAAGCCCCTCTGGGCTGTGACAGTTTCTAGAACTTTCCTTGTTTTAGATAATCCTAACAGTTTGAGGTGTACTAGTCAAGGATTCTGTGGCCAATCCCTCAAATGGAATTTGTCTGAACCTTCTTTTGCGATGCCACGGTGAGGGGCCCTCTTTCCTTACTTACTTCACCCTTTGGAAGGAAGTCCCAGAGGAAGTGGGGTGTTGGGTCCTACCTTGGAGAGGGCAGCTTGTCCACGTACATTTTTGGAATTCTTCTGCAGAGGAGATTTATTTCCCCTTGTGGATCTATTTATTCTATCAATTATATTAGTATGGACTTAAGAATATTTAGTTTATATTTGGGGCTATAATCCAAAGCTATATTATTTATTCTGTTGTTCAAAACATTGCCTAACTTTGGCCATTAGAACCTCAATAAGTTGGATTCTGGGACTCTTTGCCATACTCACAGGGTCACAGGGTGTGTGTATGGGTGGTGGTGGTGGTGGTGGTGGTGTGTGTGTGTGTGTGTGTGTGTGATGCCTAGGTACACTTTAACACTTTCTGAAACTATAAGATTTCCCAGGTTTGTCTTATACGTTTCTTGCACCTGTCCTAGAGTTAGCCATTTCTCCACGTATCCTTGGTTCTCTTTGTTGGACAATGGTATTAGGAACAAAATTGTAGACCACATGTTCCTGCTACAGGTGTCATCGCTTCTAGGCTGTCAGTGGAGAGAGGAGGGAGATGTACATCTGTATATAATATGTGTATATGCATGTCATAAATATTTCTATTCTGATCTGTATTTGAATCTGTGTAAATAAGATTCATATTGTCGTTTCTGGAGGTTATTGGGCAACGAAGAGATGTGATTCTGGATTTTCCTGTGGTTAAAAAAAAATCAAACTAATTGTACCCTGTTTTCCTAACCACTCAAGTAGCTAAGGTGCTGAAGAACAGTTTTGAAAGACTGAGTAGTAGAATGGGTTGAATGCAGAAAACACCAGTAACCCATGCATGATCAACAGTGGGCACTGGGAGCATTCGAGTGGACAGGATGCCCCTCAGCCTTAGCCGTGCAACCTTGTGCTCAGGGAAAGACTTGGTGAAGTCCTGCTACTCCTCAAGACAGTGCTGGAGGCTTCTCCCCAGGAGTCTGTGGGGGAGGCCACGGGAGGTCATCTTCATGTTTGTCCTGGTCTCAGTTTTTCTTCCCAAAGCAAGAGAGGAGACAAATGTGACTGTAAAAAGGAAACAGTTGTCAAACCACGCTGTACTGCCACCGACTCTCTGCAGGTGCCGCATGACAAGAGCTGGGAGCCAGGCTTCCAGGGCCAAATCAGAACTCACCTGTTGCCTGTGATCTCAATGGGCAGCAGTTGGTCACCAGGGCAGGCTGAAAATCAGAAACCACTTGGGGAAGACAAGGCACCCCACCACAACCTTCTCTCCTCGCGGACCCCATTTCCCAGGTTCTTCTTGTCACGTTAAATGTAGATATCTTGTTCCTGAGGCTACTTCCTCTCCAATGTCATGTGGCCACAGGGAAACAGGGTCCGAGGCCTCCCTTCCTTTCACAGCCCCAGGGATTCTGTGGTTTCATCTCATTTATCAGAGCTTGCTCTTATCAAAAGGGCTGGTTAGTCACAGTGGGTGTTACTGGGGCAGCAAGTCACAGGAGCCTGTTGTGGGCCAAGTCGTGTCCACCTCCAACGTGTGTTGAAGTCCTAATCTCCTGTAACCCAGAGCATGACCTTATTTGTAAATCGGGCCACTGTAGACGTAATTAGTTAAAATGCAGTCAGAGTGGAGCAGGGACTTCAAAGCAATATGACTGGTGTCCTTAAGACAAGAACACGTGGGAAGAGACAGAGACCACAGAGGGAAGACATGTAAAAAGACACAGGCCGAGGCATGTGAAGGTGGAGGGTCGGGAGATGCATCTGCAAGTCAAAGATCACTGACAAAGGCCAGCCACGGTCAGAATCTGAAGAGGCCTGTCACCCTTTCTCCTGCACCACCCTGTTGACACTTGATCTTGGACTTCCAGCCAAGAAGAACTGTGAGAAAATAAATCTCTGTTGTTCTAACAACCCCCCATCTGTGCCTCAGTCTGTGCACTTTGTCATAGAAGCCCCCGGAAACGAATCCCGGGCCCTGGCCTCCTCCTTAGCTTGCCCTCTTCTTGTATACCTGCAAAGTTTCCCCACACAGACAACTCTCTGCCCTCTGTGTGCTGTTGCTGTGTGTCTTTGTTCACCCACCTCCTGCCCGCTCAGCTCAGACACCAGTCCTCTGGAAAGCCTTGGCTGATGTCCCCAGGCAGGGTTAATGCTCTGGCCCAGACAGGCCCCTGCACATCCAATGCCAATGTCATGAGGCTGCTTCCTCCTCTCACTTGACTGGGCTGCTGGAGGGAGGCCTCCTGCCTGCATCCAGCATCTGCGGGGGTTCAGGTGCTGGGTGAAGGAGAAGGTGCATGCAGAAACCCAGGGTGGAATAAGGGCAGTGGCAGTTCCAGAATTTTAATCTGGGAGGGGCTCCAGCTAGCAGCTAGGTTGTGGAGGGGTGTCTCAAAGCATGTGTGCTTAGCGGGTAAACAATGTAAGGAAATGACAATCGTTCACCCTAAAGAAGGCGGATCAGGCCACACTGTTTGGTGTGTGGTGTGGGCAGTGCCTGCAGAAGCAGGCACTAACGTCCCTCTCCGTGCCACAGGAAGAATCCGGGCCATACTCTGTAGGTCACACAGCTGCTTGGTGGCTAGGCAGAGTTGCAGCTCAGCTGGATTTAACTCTAGAGCGACCAAGTTTTATCGTCCTGGGCTGCACATAGGGGCAGGTGTGACCCACCTTATGCACAAAGGCCAACCGAACTGACGTTGAGATTGGAGTCCCGCCTGGTCCATGGAGGAGGGAGGACAGTATTTGCTTTGCCCAGCATTTGCCTGGATCAGGAAGACAGAACTACAACTCCCAGCAAGCCATAGGCCCCGCCCTTCCCCGCCCCTCGCGCTCCGCCCCTCCGCGGTCGGATGGTATAAGATGGCCAAATGGCCCAAGCGCCCGCAGAGCGCAAAGGCGGTGCGATCGCGCGCGGTGCCGGCGGCTCTCGGAAGCAGGACGCGGCTGCTGCAGCTGGCATCTGTGACTCGGCCTTCTCCACGGCATTCTCCCGCCTGGCGGGTGCCCACCCCCGGCTGCCCGGGCCCCGCGGACTTGGAAACCTGAGGCCGAGAGAGGATCTGCCTTTAGCGAGTTCCTGGACTGGCAGAGGGGTTTTCCCGGCGCAATCTGTGGGTTCACGAGGGCGATGCGCAGGGATGAAAAGAGAAAAGGTGCGTCCAGGACCGGTGCTCTGCCAGCGCAAGGAGGCGGAGCGCATTCATGGGGTCCTCCCGGCGCCTGGCTTATGCCTGCGGCGCGCCCACCCCTGGGGACCGCGAGGCAGCCGCTTGGGGACCCCAGGCGAGATTCCCCGCCATCTCTGCGGTGGAGAGGCTGGGGGTTGGCGGCGCTTTGGCCTTGAATGGACAGTGGGGAAAGGGATGGGGGCTCCCTAACGTGGATTACTTGGCGCTTATCAGCTGGGCTCAGAAGACCCAGGACTCCTCTTCATTAGTGGATTGATTCCTTCTACCTAACAATCGGTCGCTAAGCTGGAGGTAAGTTTCCTTTCAGTTTGGGGAAGGGGATTTGATTTGCTCCCTTCGTCCCCCACCCCTCCGCCCCACGGTGTCTCTTCTTGGAGATCATTTTTGTCATCCCTCTGTCTCGAGGAGGAGCGTATTCCCTCCGGTTGCAGTGATCAGCGACCACCCCAGCCTGGCATTCTTGGTTATTATTCTTCAGGCTCCAGCGCTACCAAGCCTTTGGCTACCTTTTGGGACAGAGCGTTAGCTGGAGGAAGCGCCCCGCGTCCTTACGCACCGGCTTGGCCCTGGCACTTACCTTCTTGCTTGGTCCCCCTCCGGTCCCGTTAGTTAGGGAGCGAGCGCTGCGCTCCTAACAGCTCCTGACATCTGCTCACTGGCGACCCAGCGTGCTGCTGGGGCGCAGCTCTTGGAGAAGGACCCGAGGTCAATAACTGGGGCTAGGAGGGGGCCGGAGTGTTTGTTGATTGGCCCTACTGAAAGTACTGGCCACCCTCAATGGAAGCCAGGTGGCTGCGTTTGGCCAGAGTGTAAACAGGGTTCCTGAATGAGTGGGAGATGGCAGGAATTTAGTCCATTGCATTCACCTGCCACCCTCCTACCTCCTCTTTCCTCTGGGCAATTTGTAATGGAAGAGGTTTCTTGGCCAGTATGGGAGGGGGTCTAAGTCTTGAGTCCTGAACTGAAAGTAAACGATTTGTGCATCTACAGTTTCCTTCTCTCCTTGTTCTTTTGTGTCGTCCCTGTTTGGGGTAGCCATCTAGGACCTGTCACTTCAATGTACAAATCAGGGTCCTTTTTTCCTTCTCCCTTCTTGGCACTTGTCCTGAACTCCAGGACTCTGCCTCTGAAGATGGTTTCCTGGGGATGCTTTCCCAGCTGTGGGATTCCCTCCTCCACCCACAAACCCACCTGCAGCCTATAGGTTCTCTCATGGAACCTGTTGGTGATGATGTTTCCCACCAAGTCCCTCCTGCATAGAAAACTACAGGTGGTCAGCATCTTCCAGGGTTTCAGCACCTCTAAAGAGCACCTGCTCGGCAGGGAGAGAGGCAGGCAGCAGAGGAAGGGGAAAAAAAAATCAAACGGTGATAGTGCTGATATGTCCCTCTCCCCCAGAAGTTGGGGTCCTCAGCTGCCTTCAGCCCCACCTGGCTCCCTGGAGCTGCCCAGGTTGGTGCAGCATGATCCCAGGCCATTCCCCCACCTCCCCCTGCCCAGTTCTCAAGCTGACCCTGGGGCAGGACTGTTGAAACTGCTCTGCTCAGCAGTGACCCAGAGTGCCACCTCTGCATCCCACCCATTCTCTTTTTCTCCTTTACAGAAAGCTGCAAAAAAGGTGGAAAATGCAGGAAGAAATAGTAAAAAAAAAAAAAAAAAAAAAAAAAGCATATTTCCTCACTGGTAAAATCTTGTAATTTGCCCAGCTCTGTTTCGTGCTCGATTTCACCCTTGATTTCATTTGAATGTTTCCCCATGCAGTGATTCTGTGATACTGTATTCCACTGCAGGTGATGAACTATAATGTGCTTGATAATCCCCCCACTGTTGGCCACTAAGGTATTTCCAAACTTTCACCCCCAGAGGTAAGGCATTGTTGATTCTCCTTCTACATAAGGATTTGTCCACATTTTGGTTGTTGCCCTGTGGAAAATCCCCAGAAATTGCTATTTTTTTTTTTTTTTTTTTTTGTTTTAATTCAGAATCAGGTCTACAGTTGAAGGTGTGCCTCTGTTGGTGAGCATTTCTTGCACTTAGAGGCAAAGGCCACCACTTCTCTACCCGATAGGCCCGCATCTTGGGGAGGAAACACAGGTATAGGATAAATGACTGCCGACTGAATGCAGGGTTTTGTTCGGTTCTTCTTCCTGTGTCAAAGAGTTGATCAGCTTTGGTATGAGAATGTCTTAGACTTTGCCTTCAGGACTGTGGTATGAATAGGTTTAGCAATGCTGTATGTAGACATAGTGTTAAGTAAGCAGCTAGAGGAAAATACTGCCTTGTCTTAAACAATAACTTGGTTTTGATATAAATCTCGATTTACAGGAAAGTTGCAAAAATTGTACCCAGTTCCCCCATATCCTCTTCCAGCTTCCCCACTTGTTAACGTTTGACACCCCTGTGCAAGGAAGGTCCAGCTGCAGACATTAACATTAATACAACGCTCACTCATAGGTCTTACTGACATTCCTCCAATGGTCCCACTAATGTCCTTTTCTGGTTCAGGGTCTAATCCCTGGTCCTACAATGACATCTTGTAAAAGCAGAAGCAGAGAGGGTCACAGTAGATGGTCTCTGTTCTGGAGAAGGTTTAAAATTGAGATGGTCCCTTTACCTTCCTTACCAGGATAACTAGCCCCCTCCTGAATGATAGCAGCTGAGTCGGATCATAGCCCTGGGGCCTGGAGGAGCTCTGACCGAACATGGGAAACCATCTGTGTCTCCCCTTCTTTCTCTCCAAACCTCCACTGGGAATGTGGTTGAGTAAAAATCGGGTTATTACCCAATCTGTCCCAACACGTCTCTGGGGGCCAGGTAGATGGATGTCATCTGGTGTGCGTGAGAGCAGGCTGCTAAGTCACTGACTCTGCGGTTGACAAGTACACCATGCAATCAGTGCCTGCGCTGGTGACTCACGCCGCAGGTGTGTCAGGGAGCTCATGGTGCAAACCCAGCCATGTTGCAGTTCCTGGTCATCTGGGCAGAGCTAAGGAACATGGGTTCTTGCTCTCGGCTTGGGATGGATCGAGGGTGTTGTTGGGTAATCTTGGGTGAAGACTGACTCTCCTTTTCTTTTGGGGCTTTCTTTGTCTGGAGGGGTGGGGGATTTGGGGTGAGGAGAGCTATCCTGAAGGCGCTTGGGGACGCAGCTAATGTGGGTAGACGCTGGCCCAAGGTCTTTGCACCAAGAGAGTGCTCTTGAGAAGTTTAGGAAACCCAAAGAAGACTGATTCTTGGCAGTGACCGTCTAAACGGGCCCTTGAAGTCTAGCCAACCACAGAGCTCACTCTCTTCCTCCAGGAAGCCTTCTTGGCTGACCTTCACATGGTCTTCTGCGTCCTACAACAGAGAGACCATGTGAGTCTGAGCCTTTGGCCTGTAAACCCTGAAGATAAGCACCTTGGTGTCTTTTCCAATGTGGAGTGGTCACCTGCACAGAGCATGGGTGATGTTTGCTGGGGGTTTAGAAGTTTTAAGGTGCCTTCAGTCTCCACAGAACACCCTTCTGTTGGCCAGGTAGTTTCTGTTCCTGCCAGGGTCTGTTTGTCTGGACTTGGCCTTTCGTCCCCTCTGTGAGCACGGCCAGCCTTCCCACAGCTTGTGTATAAAAAACAACGATTCCACCTCGCTGTCCTCATGCACCGTGGTGCAGGTGTCCTTGGTAACCGGCTGGCTCCTAGGGGAAAGGGGAGAGGGTGCTGCTATCCACACCTGGTTTGTCCCTCTCCTTCACGACTCCTGAAGTCCCTGCTCTCCCAGAGGCCGCAGCTCTTCACAGATCCATGTGGGCCCCTTCAGAATGTTCACTTTGGGATAACTCACTGTGTTCCCACGGTCTGTTCTCAGGGGGCAGTTGGAGAATGAACTGCTTGGAGAACCTGCCAATAACACTTAGCAGCCCCCTCTCACCTTTAGAGGTTCCGTTTTGGTTTGCTGAGGCTGGGGAGGCTGCTTGGGGTTCCCCAGTTTCTATGTTCCACAGCCCATTCAGACAGAGATGGACACTTTAAGAAATAGGGAGTCGACTGATTTTTGGCCAGCTCAAGTCTAAATTGAGGCCTCCCCCACCCCGCCCCAGCTCCCCTGGAACTTAGCCAACCACAAAGCTCTCTTCCTCTCTTCCAGGAGACCTTCTTGGCTGACCCCCACCTGGCCTGGACCGCCATTTGCACTTAGGGGTTGGTTAGTATGGGTTTTTACCTAGACATCGTGTGCCCTTTGTCCTTGGCTGAGACAGACGTGGCCGCGTTGGGGTGAATGATAAAGGAACTGCGGATCTGGGCCACGGATCCAGTCAGATCTGCAGCAGTCCTTCCCCTTGGGAGTGCGAAGTCCCTGGAGCTTGGGAACTTCCCCTTCCCCGCTGCTTCCTGGTACATTAGCTTGCTGGCGTTTGCGTGCAGATTAATTCTACTTCTATTTCTGGCCATCACTGTCCTAGGCGATGTCACTGTCATTATGGAGCAGGCCGGGCCCAAGTGAGCACCCCCTCTCCCCAGGATAGATGTCTGCCGCTCGCTTTGCAAGAGGACGGGATTGATCCCACAAGAACGTCTTCCTTCAGCCACACCTTTAGCTAAGGACACCCTGGCCCAAATCACTGGGGCTCCCTTGCTTCACTGAATAGGTTTGCCCCAAAAAAAAAAAAAAAAAAAAAAAATGCTACACAAAACCAACTTTGGCTGATTACGTGATACCAGGAGGCCTGGAGGAATCATGACCCAGCAGGAAAGCTGAGGTGGCAGGTTCCTGTCCAGGAATGCTTTCTGAACCGTGAATCATCACCTCCTCCCATATTTGGTGTGTTGGTACAGGTTTTTGCACAGAAGTCCTGAAACCAGGCGTCTTTGTGTGTCGTGAAACAGGCGGCTGTGCTTGGGCCGACCATGCGGGACTGCAGTCCTGTGGTTCTGAAGCTCTGGGAACCAATGGGCCGAGAGCACACGCAGCGCAACAGTTTGGAAGATGCTGATTCGTTACGGTTTCGTTTTAATGATTATCAGACTCATTTCTTTTGCCTAAAAAGTGTGACCCTGACAACATTTCACTTTATTGAAAAGAAATTTTTGTTGGTGCACTATGATCATACATAGCAATGGGGTGCATTGTGCCAGGTTCGCACATGCACATAATTGATCAGTCCTATTCCCAGGACATTCCATTTCACCCCGCCCGCCCCCTGCCATCTGCTGGCTCCACTCTCACCGAATTCCCTTCTATTATTATTATTTCAATTAGCGCATTATAATCGCACTCATTTCGTTTTTGCCATTTACTTTCCTATGCGTGAA